AGTATAAAAAACTGGTATTGACTGTTTAGTACGCTTTGTCAGCACTCTGGTCGGTCTACGGTGTTTTACTGTAAGTAAACCAATCTGAGAAAGTCATCAAAGCAATTTCCCGAAAGTCCTTGATCCCATTAAATGAACACGTACGCTTGAAGAAGATGGTGGATCGGAACTGACAGATCTTTTTTCACGACGAACATGACAGAGTTCACCTTTCGAGCAGTCTATATGTTCGTTAGACAGGATTAATCAAAGATTTCCAATTTGGGGAAAAAACCGTAGTTACAGTCTGATTACTAGGATCCTGCTAGTATATTAGCCTTTCCTGGTATTTTCGATTGTTAGCGACTAGAACGGTCAGAAGAACAGGTATAATCGGTAGAGGGGATCGTTTTGCAGGAAACGAGACTTCAAATCTCCGGCAAAGATCTCGTCTCGATGGTTGTCGCAAGTCAGAATTACGAAATTCCTAAGATTTTTGTTAATATTTCCCTTTGACGGAGAAGGAAACGGGGAATTCAATTTGCTGGAATGTTCAATCACTTCTTTTGTGATGTGCCTTTAAAACCGATTTTCATTTGGAGACACAATAACGCTTGAATTCTCATTGAGCGTATACAATGTCTTCAAAAAACCGGCCAATCTGAAATTCAAAGTTTTTTATCACACCAGACCAACCTTGTACCAATTGATAGCCTTAAGGGGATTGGAAATTGGGGGATGGTATGTAGGGTGGTCATCCCCCAACACAGAAACCACTTAGGGCACCCTCCCTTGACTCGGTGAAGAAAATACTTGGAAATTAGTAGTCTTTCATAAAACTCCCAACTAGTAACAGTTTTTCAAAATAGGGGAGGACCTGGGAGTTTCGAAAAGCCCTAGCGCGATCTTACGCTTCGTAACGAAGGTTTCGTCAACGGAGAGTACCCTGAGTATGACTAACTCGGAAAGAGAATGAAGCAGCTGCTCAACCAGTTGATGGCTAGCTCTCCTTTCTACCCCAGCTCCCCTCAGCTCTTTCTTTATTCTTGAACTAACTATAAGCTTTTTTTTGAACTGCAGATAAGCAAACAAATAAATAAACAGAGACGAGAAAGTAAACACTACTATGCAGTTCTCGTAACTTCCATGTTCGGTATTTTGGAATGTCGGGTATCATCGAGCTGGATAACAGCGCTGATGGGACCGCAGAAGAGCGCTAACTAGTCGAGATCTTTTGGTGCTCGGGTTCCCTGGAGTTAAGGCAAGTGGCCTAGTCCATTTGGGAGCTTGATCGGGCAAACCTCAGACAGGAGCTTCGAACTGCTCTCAGGTCTTAGAAAACGACGATGATTCGAGACCAAATAAAGCGGTTCCACCGATAACAAACCTGTACCTTGGAGCATTGCCGTATACTGTAATTACTATTACTGCAATACTACTGATACTGCTAATGGTCGACGTTATATCCGCACTGTAACAATACGGTACTACCGTTATATTACAAAATTTCAGATAAAAAATGGAAATAGGAGGAAGCGGGAACGTTGAAGTTGCCCATGGCTTTTAGAGAGAGAATGAAATAAATTTGATAAGTGCATAATTAAAATTGCTTTTGAAACGGTGCAATGATGACAATAAAGTGCCGAAGTGCGAGAGAAAAGCGACAAAGACTGGAAGGATCTGGACAAGAGCGCGATACAACGCATGAGATAAGCGCCTGTAGACGGGAACGATCCTGATCGTTTGTCCGGCATACAGGCACTTCTTTCAATCGCTCGCAAACGCATAAGCACGGCTAATGACCAGCGAAAGCATTCACGGGGACGGATATGACTTCTTAGAAGAAAAAGTGTAAGCAAAAAACAACCGCACTGGACAGCAGCAGTGGGCAACACTGACCTGCTCAGAGCAGGTAAACGATCGAACAGATTGCCTTTGTCGTAAAAGCGGCATCGGTTATGAAGTGCGGCAAAGAGATCCGATTCCAAAGAGACTTCTGTTGAGGACAACTGCTAGAGCTCAGTGTCCATCAATCCTCCGGGAAGCGCCAAGCATCGATTCCGGGAAGCGCCATGCTTTTCGAATTCCCTTTCGAAATGTTGACCCAGTTCGAGGGCGTAATCAGGTTTTGTCATAAGTACTG